GTTCTTATTTGAGTGAAACTGTCTGTTAAAATTTTTGAAAATACTAGTGAATGGAAATTAATTAATTTCTGGCTAACTGTCGTGTCGTAACGAGGAAGAAATTGAGAAAAGGAAAAAAGGAATTTTCACTGTCAAAGAGCTATTTGACAGACTAAAGATTATGAAATAGGCCCATTTTTTTAGTAACAGCATAAGTCTGAAGACAATTAGCTTTTTACATTATATACAGCTTTGTAATTACACTATGTACAAATCCTTCAACTGATAGTCATATACTACATATTTGTAATTTTTTATTTATAATTATCTAAGAAAAGAAAGCGCAAAAATGAATTCAGAATTTAATTTAGGAATTAATTTCAATAATTTAGTCCGTATTCTGAATTAACTTTTTACGCATTCAGCTGCATTCTATTTACAATGTTTTTTCACGCTTCCTTTATACACATATTAAGAACTTTGGTTTTCCATATTTCTAGCCAAAATGTTGTTTACTTGTTAAGTAAACCTGACCGAGTAAGTTCTTTAATGGGTACCATAATGAGAAAATATATTAAAAATGTTTGTGTGAATGATATATACGTTTAAAGCGAAGTTAAATTCAACTATAGATATATTTATCTTAGTCTTACATTTGTTATTTCTTGTAATAACCCATCTAATTTAGTAGTCCTTGACAGCTAGGATATCGAAGAACTGTGTAGCGAATTATCGAAAGAATCAGTTCAAAAGAAGGGTTAAGTTAACCCTTTATTCCAATTCAAAATAGCTGAGAGATAGCCCCTTCTCGGGCTAACAATAAGCCTCCATTTCGGTTTTAATTTAAGACAGAAAATAAGAAACTAATCTAATACTAAATGAAGCTGCACAGAAAATACCTGACAGGGTTGGCCGTTATTTAAGATCACCAGTGAATACTAGCAGGCACGTAACATTACGGCCGAATAATAATTAGACTTCAAAGCATTGATATATACTTTGAAACCAATGCCATAATTTAATCTTCTTCTGTATTATTTCTATAGAAATAACAAATCTAAATTAATTTCCCTCTGCTCATGTATTCTCGCCATGTTTAGGTATCAGTAAACAATGCTTATTAGCTTTCGGAATTAGGGCTGAATAATGACTACGTGGCCGGAAGACAGAATGCACCTTCCTATCGTTTTACGAGGCTCTTATAGTGGAGTGATGCTTGATACTTTGGTGTTTTTCCTGGCAATTAATTAATTTCCTGGCAATTAATAATTCCTTTAATTAATTATGACAAAGCGGGCGAGGTCTGTTTGCCCTTGGAGGGATGACTTCGTGGGTGACTCGTTGGCTAGTATTCACGTTACACATGAGGAAACTATCGTCTAGTTAGCTTATACCCCAGCAACTGGGGTTGGGATAAACAATCCCTGTTAATCACTCTGATCCACTCAACTTCTTATCAAATGGATACCTTATCTGCTGAATCCGAATTTTTAGAAGCTAGGAAATATTTACTTTAAAAGTTGCACCTTCCAAACCTCATAATTTATATTATATCTTCATAGATTTTACTTCTGAGTTTAGATACTGATCTGTTCTCACGTGTAACTTTGGTCCAAGTACCAAAAAGTGCATTCAAAACTAACTACGTGCTTACTTACGACGTACAATTTGATGTGACACATGATGTTGATTATGTTATCAGGTTTTCAATTTTGCCTCATATTTCATTTCATAACAGGTTCTGTCAAGGCGACATATTTATAATATGAAATTCTTGTTAAATGATGAATCATCTTAATAGCTTATTTGTGCATTTTCATACAAAATATATGCTTTCAATGAAACAAATTAAACCTTGGAAATGCAAATTTGACCAAAATCCCAGAAAGGAAAGGTTTAGAACTTTATTTATTAATTAGAATATTTATAAAATAACAACACTGTGGGGTATAGAATCTCAACTTACTTCTTTCAAGTATTCAATAAAAGTAAAGGGGGAACTAAATTTGAATCTGGAAATAAAACTGGCAGTTATATCATTCAAATACTTGTAATCCAGTGTGACAGTTAGAGAAAGGAGAGGCTGCCATTTCTTTGGTATACGTTTAGATGTTGGTTTGCCACGCGATTAAAACAAAAGATGCAAGGACTAGTATTTGCCTTTGAAGAGATGCTTACGTGATGGACTTACTTATAGGGGTAAAAAATAAAAGTTCATTTTAAAGATAAAAATAATATAAACGTAATATAAAACTTAATATGCAAATTATATTGGTAAACTTATATTACTTTTACGTGAAATGTGCTCCGCCTATCGTTGTATCTATTTATCTATCAGTCTGTTTATATGCATGTGATCCATATGAATATGTAAACCTTGTAAATGCAAAATGATTCGGAAAGAGAAGCTAGACTTGCTAAATCCTTGGAGCTCTCTTAATAATTTATAATTGCCTGTCTGGAAGGTTATTAAATATTTAAAAGCTTTCTTTCCAACGGAACATAAACTACTCCTATCAGAGTCGTATTCTGTATTTTAAATTCACTTTGAGGTATTCTAGCAAAACTGTTAAGAAAATAACTATCTGATAATGCATTCATATTTGAAGTCCCTAAATTACTTGCACGCATAAACTGATTTCACTTTGCTATTTTAACAGGACTCTTAAAGCACAGAGCGAAGATGATTCAAGACTAAGAATGAAATAAAATCAGCAGCTACGCTAAATATGGTATTAAATAAAACAGCTGAAATTAAGCATTCTGATTTTTCACGCTATGAACAAATTCTATCCATCATGCTGTTTGGTGAGTGTGGGGGGGGAGAACGCAATGTTTTCCGTTTGGAAAGTTCTAAATCAGCAGATTGTTTGATCGTGAAGAGATTTCTTTGAAATGTTCTTGGTTCATGTGATTACCTGCAAGTCATATTTGACGTCATGACGAATTGCGTGACATCTCAGTCAATGAAATGAGTTACGTAGCTTTTAATTCAATTAAAAGCAAAAAAGCAGGCATAGCGTGTGGGACACCTCATCAGTTACGAAAGTTACGAGTCCCCACAACGAGAGCCTAACACGTATTAGCGAGTCAGCTAGCCAACTAGAAAAGAAAGCGTTTATTTTATGCTTTTTTTTTTTCTCTTCTGTTTAATGCGTTTCCTTAGTTTGTTCAGTTCTGTATTTCTCTTTCAGAGTTACTAAGCTATGTTATTGTTGTTTTTGTCCCTTGTAATGTGTTTATTTTTTTAACAAACTTGAATGTTCAAGAGTGGTTTATGTATTCTGTCGTCATTTTTTCGATTACTTAAGTCATGGAACTATGCAGTTTTAGTTGGCAGGTAAATCGATTGAATTATATTTAAACAGTACACACATACCCTATAATACAATATTCCTTCCTGCGACGAAGTGCCTATAAAATTATAAATTATGTGTATGTTCAAAAGGAATATATTTGAAGAATAGGGTGTGATTTTGAAATTGATTTTTCAGAAGAGTGTGCTTATTTAGATGATAATTTAAAGAATAGCCATTGGAAAAACGCTGAAAGCTGAAAAACACAACGACTTTTCCATGTAAATCAAATATTTTATAATGCAGTTTCCCGTGTATACGAGACTTCACTTCTTTTGCGTTATACAGGTTGTTGTGACTAATCTCGCTTGTCTGAATCCGATTAAGTCCAAGAAATTTATCGTGGCAAGGAGTCACGATTGCGCTTGTCGACTTCTTTTGCATTACACACGTACATCTGAATAAACATCCAGTTGCACAAATGATGAACATATATTTAATGAATAAAATTCAAATTTAAGGAATCTGCTTTAAAAATCCTCTTAGTCCGGAATCTTGTACAGAATATGTAAAATGCATTAATCAAAATGGTTGAACTTGCTTAAGAGCAGAAACCGGAAAGAGAAATTTTTTAAAAACAATAAGGTTAGAGAACGAACGGAATGATTTAGAGAGATTCACTGCAAACATAATACTGAAGAAGACTGAATCTGGAGGTCCACAATGGGTTTAACGATTTAAGCCACTGTGAGGTGGCAACTAGAAGTTGCGTGACAGTTTCCTCAATTATAAACAAAAGAATAAAGTAATAAACGAAAGATAATAGAGAAACATTAAACCAATAGCCCTTTTTTCTCTTTGAAAGTATACGATATTTCCTTGCTCAGAATCCTCTCATAATGCAGTAAAGATAATTGTTGAATAAACGTAAGCCTGGCAATTTAAAATTAAGCGAAGGAAATTTCTTGAATAAAATTAATAGAAGGAGCGATGATATATTTATTTATTGCAAAGTGTTCTCTTCCTTATGACCAACTATGCTTTAGTTTTAAACTTTTAATTTTCTTTTAATATTCTCCGAATTCAGGTCAGTGTGAAAGCAAACCTGAAATTCATCATGCATGGCCATTCAAAATGATTAATGTTATTCCAAATGACTAAATTTTGAAGTTTACAAAGCATTTGTATTAATGATGCATGAAGCGAAAGAAAAATTGTACAAATTGTGGATGACATCTTTATAAATTTTATGGAATTTCTAGATTACATGATAAATGAATAGATACAAAATGATGTTTGAATTCATTCATCTGTATTTTATGGTTCAAGGATTTAACCACCCTATATTAACAATGACCGAATAAAAAAATGAATAATTTACAAGAATTTACCGCATGAAGCTGTGGTTATTAAAAAATTCCTGCTATTAAGGGTAAATGTAATAATTTTTTCAATGTATTCGGTTTGAGACTTGTCATTGCGCATGCGTATGACATTAAATGCGACTGCATCTTCGCATTCGATAATTTACATTTTTCTAGGTTCTTTCATTGTTAGTTGTTATTATGTGCATAAATGTTTTTGCACTTTGTTTGACATATTAAGCTTTTATCGAAGAGAATTTTCAAAGAATTCAGAGAATGCATATTGCAAGCGGACATGGAGAACGGAACACCTTGATGAAAGGGAATCGGATCTCGAATAGATCACAGTTCATATGAAACTATGTTTGACTCTAAAAACCAAAGAAAATTTGAGAATCTAGTTGCCAGTCTATACTTTGTCAAACTACAAATTACTAATGAAGATCTTGCTATGGTAAAAGATCATTCCAATAAGAGTAAGAGGTATAGATACTGTAAGTGATGACAATACAAAAGGGCAAATCAGACTTCCAGGTAATAAATGTTGGAGATTCAAACAAAACTGTAAATGTTAGTCAAATAAAAGGCGTAAAACATGCTTCTGGAATAGAAAGGACTGACCATCAAAAGAACAGAGTAGAAGATATTGCCTATAGATAGAGAGAGAAATTAATATGGAAGTCCTTTTTCTCGCTAAGTGAAATCTTTGAAGAATTTAGGGAAGCTTGAGACTTTGCTAAACAGCCACTAAGTAAGCAAATGGTACGAACGTTATCTCCACCGAAGTTAAAATTTTCAGCTGAGAATGTAAGGAAAGGATAAGGAATCCAGAATTAAATCTGATAACCGAAATATTATAGTTGCTTTAATATCCATTAAAATAAAGACCAGCATTTAAATCAATTCTTTGCAAGCAATGAGTTCAGCTTATGCAAGGAAAATTTGATGTCAGTTGATGAAGTTCCAGGTATTGAAATAAGACTAGAAAATTTGTTCGCAAAAATTCTAATTAAAATGTTCAAGGATTCCGGTTTGCAGTGGTACAAGGTAATATTATCTGAAATCACAATAGATGTAAAATATCGAAAGCACTTTTCAATTCTAGATGCCACTGAAACTCTTTCTGCAAAGACTATAAAGATGCTTTTAATTACTTATTAAGACTTGCAATTGATTAAAAATAATAAAAATCGATTTTATAAAAATATTATATATTAAATCATAAGACCATCGATTATATAAAAATATTATATATTAAATCATAAGACCATCGATTATATAAAAATATTATATATTAAATCATAAGACCATCGATTATATAAAAAATATTAAACCTATCATCTAAGTAATATTATAGAATGTATTTTTTATTAAATTCATCAGGCCTTCATCGGTAATTATTAATATTTATCTTAAAAATATTGTAGCGAAAAATCGCTCTTTCGACCAAGCTCCTCATAGCTTAGCGGTGAAGGCTCAGGGTTCGAAACCCGAAGTTCACGGGTTCGAAACCCATGAACGGCAGGATGCCTGATAATTGGTTTTTATGTAAATTTCCTTCTTGTTAATGTTATCTTATTTATGTAAATTTCCTTCTTATTCTTCGGCCCACCAGCGGCCGAGTGGTATAATCGCTGAACACTGGTAGTTCGGTCCGAGGTTCGAATCCCGCGAACGGGCTGGCTGCATGGGCGTTTTCGTGGTTTTCCCCATGTGTAACGTGTATACGAGCCAGTTTCCCTTAGAAAGTCCTCCACGAAGGCATCCCTCCTCTTAGGCAGATAGCCCTCGAGGCTTTGCCATACACACACCCAATCCAATCCAATCCTTAATTAAATGTAATTGATTTGTAACTTCTACTAGAGCTGACGGTTAGAATTGAAGTGTAAATAAATAATATCGTGTGCAATATTTGCAACCAACAACCAACCTTCTTATTCTTCCAGAACATTCCAAGTCTGGAATGTTTCAGCATGTTCACTAGTTGTATATAAGTAGCTCTTCATTCAGTTCGAGTTAATAAAAAGTCTTGAGTTTAGACTTGAGTACTTGCCTGTTCATTTGTAGAATCCCCTCATCTACGCGACAATATAATTATCATGTGTTGTTAACCTCATTGAACAAAAGACACGGTTATTATTAATATTAGTCTGTTACTATGAATACTAAGTGAATTCATGACATCAACTGTTACACGTATAATTGTTACCAATTTCACAGCGGTAATAAGCGTCTGCTACGCGCAAGTTTAATAGAGTTTTCAGCTGCATACATACAAATGTTTTCAGCAGCGTTTGATGACCCCAGATTTGCAGTATTAGAGCTGTGGAGATTACGAAAGGATACTGTGGCGCAGATATGGGTTGATTCCGAAGGTTTTACTATGCTTAAGTTATTCAAAACACGTTTGAAACAGGAGGCAAAATTTGGAAAGTTTTTTAATAATTTTTTTATTAATTTTTTATTTATTTTATTTTTCCTTATTTACCTATTTATTGCTGCCGAATGCTTCAATAATCACCAAAATAATTATTAATTGTGTTATCCCATGATAAATTTTTAATCATCCTGTTCACTGATTCCTTTAAAAATATTCAATAAAGATAATTTGACTATTTATAAGATAAACTACAAAATTTAGTTTTCTTCTATAACATATTATCTCGTCGATTCTAAGAAATAGCATTTTAGAACAAAATGAGCTTAAAAAATTTATATAGACTTGAGCCTATAAAAAAACAGCCTTGGAAAGATCGAAAGGCTGGATTCGAGGAGACAAGTAAACTAAACTCGGTCTCTTTACTTAAGCGTTCTTTATGAGAATTTAAGCAGCCTATTTATTAAAGTGAGTAGTAAGGCAATTTAAGACTGGCTCCTGTGACACAATTTGCTTTGACAAGAACCCAATCATTGATAGAATGAATTAAGCCAATAAACAAAGATAGTTCATTCAGAAGTGAAAAAACAAAAATCAGTGTTATGTTTTCAATTTACTGTAAAAATTTGAAAACATAACGCTGATTTTTGTTGCTTGACTTCTGAATTAATACTTGTTCGGTTTGTTATTGTATCTTAATTACAGATAGTTCAACCCACTTGCGAATGAACTGGCTCCATATACTTTTTCGTGGATTTCCCCTATAACTAATTTGCCTAAGTGTTAGTTTTCCTTCGAAATTCCTCCACAGTAGTATCTCTACCATTATGCAGATAGCTTTCGCGTGCTTTCTCATAATCGATGAAAGAGACATACTTCTAAAAGAGACTATTACAGTTAAAAGATGAAATCAAAAAAAAAAAAATCTCACAGTTGTTTGTTTATGTAGGAAGTGGACTTATATGTATTGCATAGAAAGAAATATAGCTGATATTTGTTTATAATTTACGCAAAAACAGATCGCTGTGTACATGGGAAAAACAAAACTGTTGTCCTCCATATGCATAGCGATCTGTAATCGCTTAAAAAATGGATAGTTGCCCAAATTCGGCATCGAGTGCGGCACGTTAATTATTATATATGTTATATGACTGCGTTTTTAATTTTTGAAGTTTGCCGTAGTGTTTTTTAGTTTTCGTCGAACTAACATGTAATTTCGCCAAAGTGCGATTTTCGCTTTAGCATGGAAGTACCCATTATCCTTTATTCACACCATTTTGGCAATCTAAATAGCCTGTGGGAGTCTCTGGTACCTCTGGGAGTCTTTTCCCAAGACAAGATGTTGAATAAATTCTATAAATATTTATCGCAACTTACAGCGTGGATCAGTTATGACTTAATTTACCCTATTCAAAAAGACTGATACCCCGATTTCAGCAAATCGCCTCAAGCAGGGGTGCTCTAATTACACATTTTATCCATTCAACAATAGCGCTTTAGAAACATTTTATTCCATCAATATGAGCAGCCCGCCAGCGGCCTAGCGGTACAATCGCTGAACGGTCAGAGTTTCGAACCCCGTCGAATGGGCTGGATCCACGTTCGTTTTCGTTGTTTTCGCCATGTGTAACGTGTATGCGAACCAGTTTCCCACAGAAACTTCTCCATGAAGTCATGGAGGTGCCTACCTTAGGCAGATAGACATCAATTTCTTTGCCCTAATTAAATAAACGAAACCAAATAATGAGTAAGAAAGCTGTCCACTTGCCATTCTAAGTGAAATTACTTTTATTCTGTCCTATTCTTACTGAATAAATCACTTATTCACTTATCACTCACTCTCAGATCTGCTCTGAACAGCATCTACTGTGAATAATTTATGCATGGCCTTCTGACCAGTTTGCGTAACTGATGTCATATAGGAGAATCGAAGTAACATTTATGGTGAATATAGCTGAAATTTCTCTTAAAATTTCTTATTGCTAGATCATTATGGAAATAATGCACAAGCTTTCCTCACCTTTTCGAAATCTGTGTATATATGTACATGTACATATATATATATATTGTTACAAATAAGAATAAACAGTAAAGTTAAATGTAAATAATTCTCTTGCGCCATTGCTGCAAGGAATGAAATTTGAATTTAACAAACATTCTCTATTCGTATAAAGCAAATTTAAAGTTAATTAGAATTTAAATTTTAAATTATGAAATTTTAATTGCATACAAATAAATGATTAATTATTGCTGCAAACTAATTTACAATATCATTTAAATTCTGAGAGCATATGTAAATTAAGTGCAAGTATTTAAAACCATGAATAAATATATAATATTCCAAAATATTAATCCTAAAAAAATTAAGACTAAATTAATTTGCATTAGTGAATAATTGTTGAGCAGGCAGGAGTGCAATTAAAATTTCATAATTTAAAATTTTAATTTTAATTAATTTTAAATTTGCTTTATACGAATAAAGAATGTTTGTTAAATTCAAATATATATATGTATGTATATATATATGTTGTACGTATATGTATCATTGATCCTTTGCTGTCTAATTTTCTCCAGATTGCGTGTACTAAAGACAACATACTTTTGAACCATGTTTTTTAACACTTAAATAAATGCGACCGCTCTTTATAATCTAGCACTGTTCATCTGTAGAATGGCTCAGATTTAAAACGACTAGAACTATTGAATACTGACAGTAATTTTTATCTGTCTCATTCATATTCGCATGAGCTGGAATGAGTTGCAGCTTGTTTTGCTCTTATGATTGATTTCTGCTCACTTGAGTTCTCTGATAGGTTGAGGTGGTTGCGTTTGCTGCTGGTAGCTGCGGCAGAAGAGACCCTGCGTCGGAAAGGCTCATTCATCATACCTTCTCTCCTCTTTGGGTCCACCAGTGGCCGAGTAGTTTATACCGCTGAATACTGGTAGTTCGATCAGGGTTCGACCAGAGGTGAACAGTTTGGCTGCATATTTGGTTTTCTTGGTTTTTGGCCATGTGTAACGTGAATGCGAGCCAATTCCTTTAGAAAGTCCTCCAGGAAGTCCATTACTTAGATATCCTGTCCGGGGCTCTAATCCCGGAGAACTGACAAAGGGAAACCGGCTCGTATACACTTTACACATGGGGAAACCACGAAAATGCCCATGCAGCCAGCCTATTCGGGATTCGAACAACGGACCGACCTACCAGTGTTCAGTGACTTTGCCGCTCGGCCGCTGGCGGGCGAAATTTATCATTACTTTTAGAAAATGAAGTGGAAAAATATGGAAGCACTTTAAAACATTCATCTGTACCGCCCTTTGTTTAACATTACCTGTACAAAAATTGGCCTAATTTACTTCTGACCTTACCGAACATATAGATTAAAAAAAAACTTTTATTTTTTGTCTTCGAGTAGATACACAGTTCAATAAACCAAACACATCTCTGGATTCCTTCCAGTATTTCATTTGATTTTACTTTTTTTTTGTTATTAATTCGAACATTTTTTCATTATCAGTAAATGCGGCTTAAGGCGAGGCCATTTACTGAAATGGCCTCGCCTTAAGTGGGTAAAATAATTAGCAAAATTTTCTAAAAATAAAAGAATATATACAATACATATATAAAAGACGTTAGACATATACAAAAAATTTCGCTTTCAATCAAACAGGGCTTATCTTTTTAATATACAGGGTGATTATAATTAAAGTTTAAGTTTAAAAACGCTATAAAAAAAGAACCACTGATGAAAATGATGTGAAATTTGAAAGGAATGTTATTGAAGAAGGCGGAAAGCGTATGGCAGAAGAAAAAATTTAGTTTTGAAAGTTAGCCACAGATGGCGCTGTAAGCGGCCGAATCACGACGAGAAATGATTCGTAAAACAACGGCTAAGGTGGAAGTTACACATTAAAACGTATTGACAAATTAGAATTGTTGAATAATTTTATTTGCATGACTGTACATATCACATCGAAAGGGACAAATCGGTTTCATGAGTTTTGCGGCGACGTATCGCATAAGAACCATTCATCAAAGAAGTTCGGAACTGTCACGAGACTGGCGCAAAACATGTTCAATATGGTGTCCACCATTGTGTGCAACAAGTTGAAAGCGACAAACAGCATGTTCCACAACGGATCGCAGTGTCTCTGGGGTGATGTTCAGAATGTGTTGTGAAATGCGTGCCTTTAATTCCGCTAATTTGCAATTGGAGCACGGAACACAACATCCTTCAGATATCCCCACAGCCAGAAATCACACGGAGTAAGATCAGGCGATCGGGACGGCCAGGTTGTAGGGAAATGACGGCTGATAATTCGAGCATTTCCGAAATGGCGCCTCAGCAGCTGCTTCACGTGATGTTGCAATGTGCGGAGGAGCGCCATCTTGCATAAAAATGATTTCATCCACACATCCATGCTGTTGCAGAGCTGGAATCACGTGGTTGCGCAAAAGAGACGCATACCTCTGACCAGTGACGGTTGCGGTAACAGGATCCGGAAGCACCCGTCTGCTCGAAAAAATATGGTTGTAGGATGAATGAATGCCGTAAAGCCACACCACACAGTGACCTTTTCAGGATGAAGTGGTACGGGGTGTGTTGCCAATCGGATTTTCTGTTGCCCGTATTCGACAATTCTGGGTATTCACGTATCCTGTCAGATAGAAATGGGCTTCATCTATCCACAAAATTTTCCACGGCCATTCATTATCCATTTCCATGCGAGCCAGGAATTCTAACGCAAAGTCTCCCTAGCTGTCAGGTCAGACGGAAGCAAATCCTGCACATAGCCAATTTTGTACGGATAGCATTGCAGGATGTTTCGTACAATTTTCAGCAGTGTGCTCGTAGGCCTGTCCAATGTTCGGGCAATTCCTCGTGCACTTGCACTGTTGCACACCACCGGCCGACCCCTCCTGTAATGCTGTGGGCCACTTTCTTCAACTACCGTCGAATACACTCGTTTTCTCCCTCTACCAGATTACACATCAAACGAACCTGTCGCTTTTGAATTTTTGCATTATTTTCTTTAGATCATACGACACTCATTGGACCAATGCCTTCTTCTTATACCCTTTAGTGTCCTGAATTTTTGCAGAGCTACTCTTGCACAATCATCATTCTTGTAATACAGCTTTACCAGCAGAGCGCGGCCCTGCAGTGAAACACCCATGGCGAACGTTGAGACGCAAAATGAGGAACAGCCTGGTACGACGGCTTTTATAACACTGAAATTTAACTAACATTTTAATTTACGTCTTCTTCCGCTTGCAGCGCCATCTGTTGCTAACTTTTGAAACTAAATTTTTTCTTCTGCCATACGCTTTCCGCCTTCTTCAATAACATTCCTTTCAAATTTGACGTCATTTTCATGAGTGGTTCTTTTTTTATAGCGTTTTGAAACTTAAACTTTAATTATAATCACCCTGTACGTTTTGCTTTTTAGTTGATGTTTAATATTTTATCAAATTGTTGCTATGTAACTTATATATCAAGAAAAGGTTTGCTCCAAAACTATTTTTAATTTTAAATTAGTTTTTCGCAATTAATTTTAAAAGCTGAATGTAGAGTCATTAGGACTTTTTGAAAACAAGAGAGATGAAAAATTATCAATGGCCCTCGCAGGGAATCGAACCGCGGAAATACCGGCTCAGTGTGCTGACCACTACACCACGAAGGCACGCTAGGAAGGCGGAAGAAATACCTTATAAATGAATGAATAATATGAAATGTATAAATGCTCTAAATGTGAGAGATGTTTGCTGAAATGAACCACTCCTTCCTTACTAAGTAAATAACTTTATAATGCTCTTACTTCAGATGTGTTTATATATTTGTTGTTTAATTGATTAAAAATATAATGATTTTGTTTTAGATACACTCATGCGGTGATTATTTACATAAACAATAGTGTATTTTTTTTTCAATAGGTACTTTAGCTCTTCGATTCCTCAACATATCTGTTCCAGGAGCGGTACAAGTTGGAGAATCTGTCTGGTTGAAATGTGATTTTGATTTGGAAGGAGATGATTTATATTCTGTTAAATGGTATAAGAATCACGTAGAATTCTATCGGTATCAACCCCGAGATCGACCACCTGGCCAGACGTACAGACTAGCAGGGACATCTGTTGATGTGAGTTACTGTGTTTTCACAATAAACCCATTGAAATGTTTATCCCAGATGCAAGGTTTGAAAACTGAATCCTAGTTTGAATTCTTTATTTTGAACGAGGTCTATATTTCTTCTTCAAATCATAATATATATATAGGGGTACTGAAAATATCGATTTAATGTATTATGAAACATGAAGCTAAAGTAGCAAATTACTATAAAAATCCTCAATCAAGTACGAATAAGTGAGAGGACGGAACTATAAATGTAGGTAAGCTATTGTACACTCATGTCCATAAATTAAGGATAATTCGGAGTCACGTGGAAATCGAACTCTAAAATAAATATATCACTTGTAAAATCACTACACACATCTTCAAGAATCATATGCAAATTTCAGGAAGTATCCAGATGACACCGCTGGTACGTCACAATGACGAGAGTGTAAGAGAGTGATATATAAGGAATACAGGCAAAGAAGTAAGATTGTTCACAGGCGCTTTATAAGCATTTCAGTGCAATAACCGAATAGTTATGACACAAAGGACGCATTTGGATGATTTTTTACGTGGTAGAATTATCGGCCGTCTGGAATGTGGGCGTACCCAACTGGAAGTATCAGACAAACTTGGAATTGCCCAGAGTGTCATCTCCAGGCTTTGACAACGATTCCAAGATGATGGTAATGTGAGTAGACGTTACAGCACAGGTCTCCCCAGAGTTACAACGCCGAATAAGGACCGGTATTTGGCAGTTACTGCCAAAAGAAACAGGCGGAGCACAGCCTCAGACCTGTCTCGTCAAGCTCTCTTCAGCCACTGTTACGACAATTTCAAGGCAGACCGTGTACAGACGCTTAGGGCAGATTGGTCTATATGCTCGTAGACCTGTTAGATGCGTTCCATTTACTGCAACTCACTGTCGCCTGCGGTTAGCCTGGAGTAGAGAGCATGCATTGTGGACACCGCAACAGTGGGCTTGTGTAATGTTTTCCGACGAGTCCAGGTTTAGCTTGCAGTCTGATTCTCGCCGAACTTTCATATGGAGAACTCCAGGTACCCGTTACCACCAAGAAAACATTATTGAACGACACCGTTACAGTGGTGCAGGAGTGCTCGTTTGGGGTGGAAATATTCTGGGTTCCAGAACTGACCTGCATGTTCAAATTGGAACCATGACAAGCCAAATCTATCGGGATGTCATTCTGAAACAACATGTACGTTTGTTTCGGAGCGCCGTGGGCGCACAATTTGTGTTTATGGATGACAACGCCCGTCCTCACCGTGCAAACGTCGTAAGCGAATGCCTTCAATCGGAGGATATCACCCGTATGGACTAGCCAGCATTCTCACCGGACTTGAATCCAGTAGAGCACGTGCGGGACATGCTTGGCCGACGAGTTGCAGCCCGTCAACCTCCTCCTACATGTCTAACGGAACTTTGGAGAGCATTGCTTTTTGAGTGGTGTAATATCCCCCAAGATCAGATCGATAATTTAATACTCAGCATGCCTAGGCGTTGTACGGACTGTATTGCATAGTCTTCGAGACATACAATGTATTAACAATCATACCAACCATGTAATATTGGTTTTTTTGTAAATATGTATTTTTTGTAATTTGCTCCAGGGAGAAAAAATCGCTAGTTTTTTAATAATATCAAACATATAGCATCTTTTTTTGCTCTTTACCTTTTGTTTAATAAATAAGCTTTACAAATAAATCAAATTTGTTTTGCTTTTAACTCTTCCTTTGCCTGATTTTGCATTATACTTAATTTATGGACATGAGTGTAGATTACTGAAGGGTTAAACGTGTGAAAAAAGGAAATTCATGTTTGCTTAAAGCTAAATTAGATATTTTAGGTAAATAGTAATACAATAAAACATTGGGATATTTATAAAACACTTTGCATATTGAATATAAGAGAAAGAACATCTTCAGGCTTCCCTAACAGTGGATACGTCTGCCGAATGCAGTAAGAATAGAAGTAAGTTCCTATAGCAGCAGAAAAATTGCTATGTTGCTAAAAATGCTGTTACAGCATTTTGTATTCGAAAATTCCCCTCTCTGTTTCCTTGAACCGTTAAACATCTAATAGCTTAAATTATCTAAAGTTTTTAAAACCTTTATGACCATTAGTCTTCCCAAAATAGACCTATTTTTTCCCCTTACCTCTTCTGTGATAGCTAAGCGCGATTGCTTTTGAGAATAGTTTAACCTTTGTTTTACAATCTTAATTTTTGTCATATATTCATATTTTTATAAATTAGTTGGTTTCTAGTATTGTTTTGAAAATTATCTTGTTCTTCAGAGACGTTTTATTTGGCTACTTTATTAAATATTAAATTTACAAGGAAAATTATTTTTTTCTTCAGACACTGGAGCCTTCGCAGTTCTCAAGAAAAAGGCAAATAGGTGGTAGCTATTTGGAGAAACGGGTTCTGGAAAAAGAGAACTCTTTACGTAATTTTTTAAATTGTATATGTGATGAAAATAATGCTTTTTGTTAATCTCTTTGGTATTATAAGTAGTTTTGGTTTTGCTTATAACTTTTAAAACCTGGATAAAGAGTAGTAATACAATAATTCCGCATTACTAGCGTAGTTTGTAAAATTACAGTTTAAAATTATTAAATATATTCTAACTGAATTAAAATTAATATTCAAAATTTTTCTTAGATTATTGAGGCTTTTAACAAACATAAAAAAATCAACTGTGTCCTCGCGAATCATATATTTTCCAGTTACTACTTGGTTATGCTAACTATCTACGCTGTAACAGTACGCTGGGAGAATGAAGTAATTCCTTATATCCTCCCATGCTTAAAGGGCGAATAGGGAGAAGCACAAAATCCAGTCAACGAAATTCAAGTTTTGTCTAGTCACCGTTCTCCAAATGTTTAGATGAGGTGGTACTGTGGAAAGTAAGGTTTTCAGAGCACATTGACAGGAAAAATCAACTGTATTTTCGCCGGAATTTGAACCACAGATCTTTCCGTTGCCATCTGGGTGTGATAACCATATAAACAGTTTAAACAGAAATGCGAATCAATATTCTAAGCTGTTTAATGTTGTGCTCAATTCTAGTATTCATCTGAAAATATAAGAGTATGCAAATCCATTAATGACAAAGGTTCTTTGAAAATTTCGAGCTTATACGTGCTTTCAAAATGCAGATGAGTCCTTTTCTGTTATGAAATGCTCCATAAATATTCAACAAAATGTTTGTGAAATTTTGGTTCGCAGCATTTTCATATTAAAACGGGGAAAATTCTTCACTATGTTATTTCCTTTCACTTAAAGTGTTAATATAATGTGTAGAGTCATTAGGTTTCGTTTTTGAAGCAGGAGACATTAAAAATGTGCAATGCCCTCGCCGGGACTTGAACCTGGACCTCTCGAATACGCATCCAGGTTGCTACAATTACACTATGAAGGCATGCTGGGAGGAGGATACTCCCCCTTTTAAAGAGCGACTAAGAATTATAGGACCAATCGCCAAAACTTGGTGGTGACGTATTATTGTCCACTCCCTTTTAGTTCGGGCGCCACTGTAGAGATTTCTTTTTTTGAAGCAGAAGACATGAAAAATATGCAATGCCCTCGCCGGGACTTGAACATGGACCTCTCGAATACGCGCCGAGTGTGCTACCGTTACAGTATGAAGGCAGGCTGGGAGGAGGGGGAAAATACCTTTTAAATGTGGCAGTTAATACTGAAAAATTTCTTTGCTCGAAGAATTTTTTCAAACTCATTTTCAAATGCAAATCATTAATGGATGCACTAGTAAATATGTGTTCTATATGGCAGTTATTTATTCTGTTAAAGTAAGATGAAACAGAAAAAAGCTTCACAAAATACCAAATTTCAAGTGTACCCATTCTAAAATGGTAAACTTTATGAAACTGTTTTCCTTTTTATCTGACAGGTGATTCATTTTATTGATTTAAATATATGTTTGGTGTAAAATAAACAATGGGGTGCAAAGCGTCTATAATTTAAATCGATTTTTTTACACTTATTCAAACTTTTGAAATAAAATATGTAAATGACTAGTAAAAATCCTCACATATGCTCATGCAGACAGCAGCATATGAATTTTCAATTACCTTGTAAGGTCCCTCACTCAAAATTCCAAGTTAATGTTGGAAGTGAATAAGGGAACTGATAAGCGAATAATCGCTAGAGTTCGAAGACAGGAAACAACAAGAGAGAAGGGTAAATAACCCTTTATTGTTTCGATAAGATTTAACAAAACTCCGCACTTTGGACTTGAACTTAAAAGACTAAGAATTAAACTAAAACTAAGATTATCTAACTAAGTATAGCCAAAGCTATCAAGGTTCAATGAGAGTTGGCCCCCTTAACTTATTTTACTACGAAGCTTAGCAAGGGCCTGAGTACGGCCGAGCGTAAAACAGCTTTGAGAGAGAGAGAGCGGCCAAAAAGGCAGACGCGCGTAGTTCAGAAACTCTGTTTCTCTTTCTGTCTCAGTAAGTAACTTCGTGGTTTAAATACCGCTCCTTCTCATTAAATATTCAGCAAATTCCAAAACTACGTTCTGGCCGGAAGTAGTAAGTTGAAGTTAAGATTTTGACAGGAAAGGAACTTTAACTTAAAATGTAACTGTTAATAAAATTAACATAATCCTTACAACCTAAAGACCCAGATTCGATTTCTAGTGAGAGTACAGTGAATCAATCAAAAAAATATTTCTTCAAACTCCTAATGTTTCTATAGTAACACTTGAAGTAAAAATAAAAATGAAATAAAAATACCAAAACACAGAGGACAGTAACTCTTTACTAATCAGTATTGTCGATTGGAAGCCACTTTCCCCCCAGTTACCTAATAATTGCTGAAGCAATTTAAGAAACAGATCTTATGTCAACTGTGAGTATATAATTTAGAACAGCAGACTTCGCGTCTTGGCAAGACCACAACAAATTCTTCAAAAAATTACTCAAAAATTCCTATCTCTATATTTTCTAGCATAACAAAAAAATTAATAGATGAAATA